ATGGCTAGGAAATATTGAATCTATTAATTTATTTTTAGTTTTTTCAATTTTGTTTTGTTGTGTTTTGTTTTTTGAGACAGGGTCTCACTATGTAGTTGAGACTGCCCTGGAATTCACTGTGTAGCCCAGGCTGGTCTCGAACTCACAGTGATCCTCCTGCCTCAACCTACCAAGTGCTGGGATTACAGTTGTGCACCACCATGCCTGGCTCTTTTTATCTTTTATTAGTACGTGTTGTTTGCAGTGCACAACGATCACATCCCTTTTAGGGAGTTGGTACATGTACACTATACATCTCAGTTATTATTCCATCCCTTTTTTTTTCTCCCTCCATCTTTTGGTCCCCTTCCTTTTTGCAAACGATCTTATCTCCCCGTGTCTTACTATGTTTTATTTTTATTTATATTTAAGCATGTATGTCTGATTTATTTTACTTAATATGGTCTCAGGGAGCATCTGTTTTAGTTCTTTTGAAGTAAATTTTCCTTTAGAACCAGTAGAGTCCTTTTAACATTATTTATTTGTTTGTAGTACTTTTAGGGTTACTAACACACAGGACGTTTGTAGTGTTTGAAGAATCCGCTTGAGAGGGATGAGCATCCTGCTGTGGTAGGGACATTTGAGTGTCAGTGTTGGTGAGAATAGAGCAGTTCTCGTTCCCTGTGTCTGTTGAATGAATTTGACATGGCCTCTTGTTTCTTTTCTTCTTTTTTGCGGGGGTACCAGGGAGTGGACTTGGTTCCTTCCGCTTGTGAGGCAGGCAGCGACACCACTGTGCTGAATCCCCAGCCCAGCCTCTTCAATTTTTTTACAAGCAGTTTAATGAGGAAGCCAGACCAGCTATCCTCGTATCTGTGCCTTCCAGAGATTGGGCAGGCCAATTTGTCCCCGTGAAAACGGAGCCTGGGGATTGCATGAGTCATGGGGAATGGCTGTGCCATAGTTTACCTTAAGGGCCCTTTCTTGGTGCATGTGGTATGACCACCTTCCTTGCGTGTGAGATGGCGTCTTCAGTCATACCTATTTGGGGATCAGGAATAAAAGTCCTATGTTGACGTGCTTGACTTTTATTTATATAGTAAAATAAAATTTCACTGTTTAAATGAAAAGAATATTGCTACTATAATCTTATAGAAAATAGATAATTGGCTCTGTTGCATAATAGAAACTCTTGGTACATTTATTGTTTTTAGCAAATCCTGGGTTTATATTTAAGAAGCTTTCAGAAAGTTCCCACGTAACACTGGCAAATTTTCAGGACAGAATTGCTAACATAATTTATGTAGTTAACTACATGTGGCATGTAAACCTCAGAAAGTCTTTGTAAGCTAGAACCATAAAGGTCTTCAAGTAGGCTGAATCACTTTTCCCAATTTTTGGATAGTATTTTAATGAAGTAGCATGGGAGGAAATTGGTAGTTGTGTAGTTGAGTATTCTGTCCACCAGGGTGAGCTAGTTGCCCCTTAAAATCAAAAGAAGGCATTACCTTTGACTTAAATTCTAACTTGCTCTCCTTTGATAAATGAGACCTTGTTCTAGTTCCAGTTTTCCATGTCAGCAGTGCTTTGAGCTACTTCTCTCTAAAAATTTTTAACAGGAAATTTAGCCAGTGGTCCATCCTTTTAACTACTGGCTCTGTCGACCTTTCCTCTGACCCATAGTTTGTCACCGGGCTGTGTTTCAGGCAGATTCAGTCTGCTACGCCGTTTCATTCTAGAAGGCAAGGTTTAAAAACAGCAAGGTACGAAGTAGGTGAACCTGAGCTGTGTTGACCTGGAAGTGCTTTCTCTAATATGCTGACTCTGAGGTTAGGTGTAGGATATAAGCTAAGTATTGGGCTCCACTACACACTGATGATGTGATCTTTTAAGTTTTGGTGTGTGTGAGTACACACCTCAGAGTTAGCATGAGGACTGAATGAGGCAATGTGTGTAAAATTCTTAGTATATTGTGAATGTTGGAAATTATTACTAGAATAAAATCAATGGTAAGAGAGCCAGGAACTGAGTGGCTTCTCTGTGAAGTGATCATTTCTCAACATCTTTACAAAGCTTTAATGAAAAGTTCTTTCTGTCATTTTTTTCTTACTCAAATGTTTTGAGACACCCAGAATTTGAGGAATATGTTAAACTAGGTAGTATAAAATATGAGAGAAAAGAAATGAATCAAGAAATAAGGCTTGAAATTTTCTCTTTACCCAAGGTCCATATATTATCCCCTCCCTCCTTCTCCTTCTTTGTCCTCTGCCTCTCTGACCATTGTTCTTTTTATATCAAAGCAGTGAGATGTTGCCTCTTGAGCAGCACAGGTGAAAGGTGCACCTTTGATTCAACCTTTGTCATAAAATATTCACCTTCATCATTTCAAATTTCAGATAAGCTTTAGACAGTAAACTTTGCTGTGGTTTTTGCTTGGATTTTGGTTGTTGTCATATTCATCACAGTCTAGAGTTATAGCCAGGAGAATTTTATTAATGTCTTGAGCTTTGTGGTGACCCAGATTCTCTCCCCCATGGGCTTGTGAAGGGCAGTGTTAAATGACGTGCCCCTTCAGAGCACTAGGTTCATGAGGATGGACTCACCACGTTTCCCATGTTGAACTTCAGGGGATAGTCAGCCCAAGAATCTTGGCACATAATTGCTTGTTATGATACCACTTAACATTCATAGTGAACTTCCTAGCAGGGACATCCTGTTTGGCACCAGCAAGCCCTTCATTGTTGGTAGAGATAACTGTCAGTGTCAGCTTTGAAAGCTGTAGCACTGTGTGGCTGCCCAGTTAGGTTGAAGATTTGAATGTGGCACATTTTCTTCTGGTTCTCTTGATCTGTTTACAGTATCTGTACACTGTAATAGACAGATAGGCCTTACTCTGAGAGGAATCAGATTTTGGATGATTGAATTGTTGGCCAGACTAGACAGGGGTGTTGGGGAGAGGGATTTAGAGAGGAAGGAAAGATTTAAATGTAACAAAATTAGGGAAAGTTTGGGCGGAAAAAGTGTCCACCTCACCCACGTCTTTCAATTTGATGGGAGTTCCTTTGCAGACCCCAGATCTCTTGGTGGATTATTAATGTTGGAAGGTGATCCTGGGATATTTGCTTCAAAATACTAGGGCACCAGTTTCCTCCTCAAATATATTGAGCTTTCAGCTAGTTTTTAATTATAGATTATTTTTAGAAGTATGATTAGCTGAAATTGTTGTGAACTGTACAGCAAGACCGCTGTGTCGTGTAGCTAAGTCATATACAGATGCTTGACGAATGTCGCTCGTGGTGGCGTCATCCAAGGCTTGTTGGCTCTGCATCTGTAGGTATTTCTAGTATTGCTCGGTAGTTGTGTGAAGACCTCCCCAGGTCCTCTTCAGGTGATACGATTTGCAGCTCTACTAAAATGGCCTTAGGGAGCTTAGATTTTATTTCTCTAATGATTTCATGGTTTGTTGTTATTTATCTTCTGTATTTCTTTACTTGAATTGCAAATTGCAAATGTATTTATGTATTATTAATGAGCTAAGTAGGCCAAAATGGAACTTAAAAGTGCTCAGAAAAAGTTGATTGTGTTATGATTTAGATCTAAAATGGCCTCCAAAAGCCTCACATCTGGAGGTTAGGCCTAGAGGTGGGTCCTAGGGGCATAACTAGGAAGGGTGCATTCTTGTCCTTCTCTATTCTCTCTTTGCTTTCTGGATGCCATCATGTGAGTAACTTTCTTACACCATGCTCTTCCTCCTTGCTGTTTTTGCCTTGGTGCATGCCAACCATGAACTGAACTAAAATAGAATCTCCTCCTTGAAGTTGTAGGTGTTGAATATTTTGTGAGCCAAAATAAACCTCTCCCCGTTTAAGTCGGGGATACTCAATGGCAGGAAGGTGACTAATGCATTTGGTATTTTAAGGAAAACCTAGAGACACCTAGCATCCAAGAACTCAGAACAGTACAGTCCAATAGGCTGTTACATTTTCAGTCATTGAACATAACATGTAATACGAAGATACCCTTGCACGGAGGAGTAACATCAGGACTTACAGTGCTCAGGTTGACTTTTTGAAGTCAATAAACATACACAGGTTTGATTATTTAAAGAGTGAAGACAGTACCATGTAGAAGAGTTGATGTGTTGTTAAGTGGTTCTGGGCACACTTGCTCTGAGATTCAGAATTATGGTGAAGCAGAGCTCTTTATCAGTCATCCAGGACATAAAGGCTTTTCTCTGGTAAGATAATATTATCATGAACACCTGACACTTTCCTATGAGATAAATTAATGAGTGT